CATATTAAACCTTTTTGTTTTTCTGTTTTTGTTGGAAATGTTATATAAACCTTATCATGAATAAGAGTTGCACAATTAAAAATGTGTGACCCAACTAAAAATGTTATATAATTTTTAATATGTTAATATTAACTAACAATGAATGCACTTGTTTAAATTATGATTTTTTTTTATGTAACTTTTATTATTAAATCTTATTTCATCTTTAAAAAAAATTTATGAACATTTTAAAGGAAATAGTAGTATAGTAGATAGCACAATTACTTATAATTATATGTATATTTAATTTATATAGGGAGAGATAGTTTCTGTTTGATATAATTAAATGTATGTTTAATCTTGATTTTTATAAATGTAACTTGGGAAATCTTTTATGTTTTATGTATACATATATACATGTACATCTAAAACCAAATGAAAGTATTTCACGTGGTATTAGCTAATGAAAATTTAATGGAAAAATAATTTAGTCTTGCTCTAGGTAAGCACACATATACTCCTATCATGATTCATAGGTAACAAGCACACATATGCATTTTTGTTATATAGTATAGTCAAAAATACATAATCTTAAAGTGATATGTATGCACATATATGTATATATAATAAACTTAAGTATATATAGGCATGTGTATAATTCTGATGTATACATGTATGTGTGTTTTATATATACACATACATTATAACAAAAAATAGATGCACATATAATACTTAAGTATACATGCATTTTTGTTATATAGTATGTTTGGATATGATAACCACACATATGAATTTTTGTAATATTCAAACAAAAATGTTAGTCAAAAATATAGTATTAAAGTAATATATACTTCTATGTTTAGTATGTTAGCGAGATCCTAGCTTAATTAGGATATTTATTTCCTAGTTTATTATGACTATATTTTTTTCCTTTTGTACAGATATTGTGTACCGTGGGAGGAGGCAGAGCGAAAGTCGACAGAATGAGGGTTGAAAGTGAAAACTAAAATTTGATTTTGAATCAATTTTCCCTTTACCCTAAAACCCTAAACCCAGAGTTCGTGCTGTGAGGAAGACAAGAGAAGCGGCGCGAATGGACAAAAGAAAGAAACTTGAGAGATTAGGTCTGATCAAGTGTGTTGGGTGTAACATAATACAAAACATATAGCCTAATAAATATTTGACACGTGGCAATCAGATTAGAATGGGCTTTAGCCCATTGATAAAAGAAAAGGGTTTTTAACTGTAGACGTCCTTGAACTTTGCCTCGAGTTGCAATTGGGTCCCTGAACTTTTTTTTTGTTGAGACAATTACATAAGTTAACTCGACAAATAGTTCCAATTGGGTCCTACCATCCAACTCTGTCAATTTTTGTCCATCAAAATAAGGGGGTAAAAGCGTCCTTTCGGATTCTTCATTCATCATCTACCCCAACTCCACCTTCTCCATCCAACACACCCATATGAAACTAAGAAAACAAAACTCAGAAGAGAAATCAAGTAGCTAGCTAGTGAGTGAGACATTAAGGATTAGTGTGTCCAAAATGGAGCTAGGGGTGACTCATAAAAGCAACTCATCTTCCTCTGCCTTGCTGTTGGTCATCAATTAGGTACTTTTGTGCTATGTAATTAGGTCATAGTATTTGAAGAAACAAGAGAATCCATTTTCAGAGCCAGAGAGCCCCAGCCTCTTTGAGAAGAGGATCTAGAGTGCCATTGATGTGAGAGGCCATGACTCTATCCATAGCCCCCACAAGCTTTCCACCAATGGAGACCACAGGATTGAAACAACCACCCTCGTCCCCACCCGAGATCCACCCCAGCCTCACCTGAGACCCATCCAGATCCTCTCTCTCTCTCTCTGCAAATTCAAAATTTGAAAAAGAAAAAAAATTCGAACACTTTGCACTTAGAGGGGGTGGGTTATGTGGATTGGGAGATAGGGGGTGGGTTGCAGGTTGTAGGGGTGGGCATCGGGACTGGAAAATCAGAACACCGAACCAGACCGAATAGAAAAAACCTAAAAAACAAAGTTGACTAAAAAAGTCAACAAACCAGCACTGAACTAGACTGAACCAGTTCCAATCGATTTTGGTTTTAATTTCACACCTTACAAGATCGGACCGAACCGGACCGGCTGTATTAATTTATTTTAAAATATCTCATACTTAAGTCCAATTCTAATGAACCCAAATAAAAAGCCAACTTTAAAGCCCATATATCTTTTATTTTCAAAGCCCATATGTCTTTTATTTTCAAAGCCTATTCCATAACCCTACTTCACCTCTCTCTCTTTTTCCCCTCTTTTTTTCTTTCCGAAGCTCACTCTTCTTTTTCTTTTATCTCTCTCTCTCTCTCCCCCCCCACTTTCCCTTTTCTTTCCTTTTCTTCTGTGACTCCACTCTCTCTCTCTCTCTCTCTCTCTCTCTCTCTCTCCCCTTTCCCCTTTCTTTTCTTTTCTTTTCTTTTCTCTCTCTCTCTCTCCTTTTCACTTTGGTAGGTTGGTAGATATGGCAGATTGGCAGATTGATAAATCTGGTAGATTCGTGCTTATTGTTTGATGTGCTTTTGTTGAGTAGTCGTATGTGCTTATTGGTAGATCTGGTAGAAGCCGGTGGAGAACCAGAAACAGGAAAACCACACCGAAAATTGGCAATCCGAGTTGGTGCAGTTTTCCTCTTGTTTTTCCCAAAAATTGGATTGGACCGGACTAGATGAATAGTACCAATTTTTGGTTCCGATCTGAGTTCCAAATCGGATTGGACTGGACCGTGCCCACCCCTAGCAGGTTGGGTTGGGATCTGGGTTTTGAGGGGGGTGGGATAAGGAGGAGGGGGGAATGGGTTGCGGGAGAGAGGGAGAGACAAAGGGGACAGCTGAGAGAGAGGGATTTGGATTTGTATTTTTTATTTTTAAGTTTATTTATTTATTAGATATTTATAAAAATACCCAATCCTAGACATGTATTTATAAAAATACCCAAGCACTATTTAAACATAGAAACATACCCAAAATGAGTTTTGGGTATGTGTGTAATGATGGGTTTTGGGTATGTTTATAAATGGGTTTTGAGTGTGTGTAATGATGAGTTTTGGGTATGTTTATAAGTGTTTTGGGTGTTGGGTATTTTTATAATTTCAGCCCCATTTTGGGTATTTTAGTGAAACTCCCTTTATTTATTTCATTTATTTTTCAATTTTTTAAGTTTAAAATATTTTAATTGAAATGGACTGTTTTAGTCCTCAAATTAACGGCCAAATTGACAGAATGACTCAATTGGAACGAATGAGAGAGTTGGATGACCTAATTGCCTCAAAAAAAAGTTCAGAGACCCAATTGCAACTCAAAGTAAAGTTCAGGGACTTCTACAGTTAAAAACCCTAAAAGAAAATCATATTGCAAAAGATTTTAGGATTCAATTGAAATCTTAATAGATTGTAATTACATGATTTTTATGTAATAGATTTCAGCATGATTTGTAATTACATGATTTTTCTTATGATTTTAATAGATTGTAATTACAAGATTTTACTTATGATTTTAATTCACGTAGGACTTTCTTGTATTCTCCAAAGTAGATTCCACTAAAGTGTGGATTGGATCTGGGTTAGCCATCTTCCATCCATTACTTAAAGTATGCCAAGCCTTTAAAGAAACAGAAAGTTGAAGTTACACCAATCTTAGGTCAAGTTATCATGTATGACTTTCTTCAAGTCATCGTGTTCTAGAGCTAAAACGATAGAGGTCCCAAAATTCAAACATAACTGTCATTAAACTAAAACCATGCAGCTATTAAGTTTTGGATAGAGAACTTGGTGTCTGGAACTGAGAATTGACATAGGAACAAGCTACAACAAAGAAAAATCTTGAATTAATTGAATTTATAAATATTACAACAGACAAGTTAATTGAATCAATTCAAATAAGAAACTGGAAAGTTGAAAACAAGTCAAAATGGTCCAGGTATGATATGACACTAGTATAGAACATTTGTCACTCAAATTGATTCCACAATTGACTAAAGAAAGACAAATAAATCAAAGGAAATAAACAAGCCGAAAATCTATTGAGAAAAATGCATGCATATTGCATAATATGAACAACTATTGAAAGCAACGTACATGGAATTATTGTTTAGGAAGGTAAGTCATCTGAGCCTCTTTTTTTTATTGGGCAAAGAGATTATCCATAAGATGAAAGCAAACAAATAATATAGACATGAAGCCAAAAGAAAGGTGGGAAACGCCTCCTGCAACCAAACAGCCAGGAGAAAAAGTAAACAAAGATAGCTAGAGAAAGCAAAGAAAACAAAGACAGCTATCTGAGTCTATCCACTAAATACAAAAGGATCGAGTCTGGTTAAACCAAACCCTTGTAAAGACATGAGTACCTTGTTTATCTTCATTTGTTCATCTTCCCCAAAAACAAAAAACGTGAGAATCAGGCATAGGAGGGTAGGATTTTTAATGGGGTTTGGTATGTATATACCCACTCAAAAGTCTCACACAATACACCATTTAACGAAATACCTCAAAAGTCTCACTTTCTAGGGAGAGAAATTGAAAGAAAGGAAAACGAAACTGAAACACGAGAGAGAGTAAGAGAAAGGAATTGAACTCCGGTTGTTAGGAACGAATTTAAGGCTTTGACTCGGTGAACGTAATTTTTCTTATGTTTTAAAAGTTCTAATTGAATACCACAAGACTTGAATTGATTATTTAAAAATCCTAATTGAATACCCCCAAATTTTATTGATTACTTAAAAATCCTAATTGGATACCACTGGACTTTTAAGATTCAAAACAATCTACTAAAATCTCAATTGAATACACCCCCCTTAACTTGTATCTTCTTTGTGTTAAGTGTAACCAAATATCTTATTATTTTATTTTATTTTTATTTTTTATACATGACTCATGAGGTAAACTTAAAACCAAGTTATATTCAAATTTGGCGATCAAAAGAGACATTGTAATGAATTTTGAATTAGTTACTAAATCAATGATATTTCTTTTTCTAGTGTTAAAAGATCTTTTAAGTTCGAATCCCTAAAGAAAAAGAAAATTTCCGTGTAATCATCTAAAAACAGCCGCGCCACAACAATGTAATATTGGATAATTACCATCTCCGGTCAATTTGTTAGGCAAGTGTGAATAGTCGCTTTTGTGGACTTGACTTTGTATATAAGTAGACGAAAACAAAATTGCTGGACCCAAAACCTATGGAGAAAAAGTTTGCATGGAACTTTCATCCCAGTGTCCTCATTAAGCAACATGTAAAATATAAATCTCAATTTTCATACCATATGAAAGAGACCTTTGATAAAAATAAACAATCAAGCATGAGGAAAACGCATTGACTATTTAAAAAAAATACAACTTACCACTCAATTAACGTACATTAATCACAGTATTAATTCATGGGCTCTCATAAATTCTCGTAACTTGCTCAACAATCAATACTCTCACAAACTGCCATCAACCCACCAAAAAGTTTCTCCCTAGCTACAAGAGAAGAACAAAAACATGCCTTCTCTCCAACCAACATTTTCTTCCAAATCCAGTACAGAGTTCAATGAGTTTCAATGGGTCATTCAAATCCAAAAAACACTAGAGGAAGAGCTTGAGTATGATAGGGAAATCCCTGTCTCCATTTTCAATGTCCCCAAGGCCCTTTTGGCTAGTGATCCAGATTCCTACATCCCTCAAGAAGTTGCAATTGGCCCTTACCACTATTTCCGCCCTGAGCTCTATGAGATGGAGAGGTACAAAGTGGCTGCAGCTAAAAGGACCCAAAAGCAGCTCGAATGCCCCAAGTTCCAAGACCTTGTTGAGCAATTGAAGAAGCTGGAGCCGCGGATTCGCGCTTGCTACCACAAGTATTTGGATTTCAATGGTGACACTTTAGGTTGGATGATGGCCATTGATGCATCATTTTTCCTTGAGTTACTCGAAATCTATGGGGCCAAAGAAGGAAGGGTTTTCACCAGAGTTTCCTCAAGAATGTCACACTTGGTTGACGTTTCAGGGAGCAAGTCAGCTCTCCATGCAATTCTTAGGGACTTGGTGATGCTTGAAAACCAAATCCCACTATTTGTGTCCAGAAGAACTTTAGAGTTTCAATTCAAATCACTGGAACAAGCTGACGACATGCTGCTTTCGATGCTGATGGGGTTGTGCAAGGAGCTTTCACCATTCAAGGTGGTGGATCAAGACCTGCCAAAGATCCAAGTCTCAGAATGTGCTCACTTGCTAGACTTTTTGTACCAAATGATCACCCCCAAGTTAGAACGTCGACTGTCTGACATCGTGGAAGCTGAGGATGAAGGAGAATCCACACCACACAAGGGATCAAAATCTTCTGATAGCCCGAATTTCGTGAAGCAGTTTCTGCAGGAGGTATGGAAGCTGCTGTCGAAACTAAACAAAGGTCCAGTAAGTCTTTTGAAAAAACTACTTGAATCTGGTCCTGTTAAAGTGATTGTTAAATTGCCTTGGACAGTCCTCTCCAACCTTCCTGGATTTTCAATGTTGAAACAACCTGTTTCTTATTTATTTTCCACCCAAGACAAAGAAGAAACCAACCCCGAAAATGAGAATTCGAGCAATAGCATTAGTAAACCACCATTGATAGAGGAGATTACCATCCCTTCTGTTTCTGATCTTGTAAAATCCGGGGTCCGTTTTGTGAAAACAAAAGGTAGCGTTTCGACCATCTCCTTTGATCCTAAAACAGTCACATTTTACCTCCCTGCTACAAGCCTGGATGTAAATACAGAGGTGATCTTGAGAAACTTGGTAGCATATGAAGTATCAAATGCATCAGGGCCGTTGGTTTTCACCCGTTACACCGAATTAATGAACGGGATCATAGACACTGAGGAGGACGTGAAACTGCTTAGAGAGAAAGGTATAATTTTGAACCGTTTGAAAAGCGATGAAGAAGTAGCCAAGGTTTGGAATGGTATGAGCAAGTCCATTAGATTGACCGAAGTGCCATTCTTGGACAAGGCAATTGAAGATGTGAACAAGTATTACAATGGCAGATGGAAGGTCAAAATGACAAAGTTTATGAAGGTTTATGTGTTTGGTTCCTGGCAATTTCTTGCTGTGCTTGCTGGCGTGTTGCTCTTGCTCTTGATGACATTGCAAGCATTTTGCTCTGCCTATAGCTGCAGTCGCGTATTCCATATCCCCACCACTACTACTTCTACTTAGTGATGCTTTAGGCCTAATTAGCTTATCTCCTTCTATTCTAATAGATTGTAATTACAAGATTTTACTTATGATTTTAATTCACGTAGAACTTTCTTGTATTCTCCAAAGTAGATTTCACCAAAGTGTGGATTGGATTCGGGATAGCCATCTTCCATCCTATGCCAAGCCTTTAAAGAAACAGAAAGTTGAGTTACACCAATCTTAGCTCAAGTTTATCATTACTATCTGTCATGTATGGCTTTCTTCAAATCATCGTGTTCTAGAGCTAAAACCATAGCGGTCCCAAATTCAAACATAACTGTCATTAAACTAAAACCATGCAGCTATTAAGTTTTGGATAGAGAACTTGGTGTCTGGAATTGAGAATTGACACAGGAACAAGCTACAACAAGGAAAATTTTTGAATTAATTGAATTTATAAATATTACAACATACAAGTTAATTGAATCAATTCAAATAAGAAACTGAACAGCTGAAAACAAGTCAAAATGGTCCAGCTATGATATGGCACTAGTACAAAACACTTGTCACTCAAATTGATTCCACAAATTGACTAAAGAAAGACAAATAAATCAAAGGAAATAAACGAGCCGAAAATCTATTGAGAAAAATGCATGCATATTGCATAATATGAACAACTATTGAAAGCAGCATATCTGAAATTATTGTTTAGAAAGGTAAGCCATCTGAGTCCCTTTTTTCATTGGGCAAAGAGATTATCCATAAGATAAAAGCAAACAAATAGTATAGACATGAAGCCAAAAGAAAGGTGGGAAACACCTCCTGCAACCAAACAGCCAGGAGAAAAAGAAAACAAAGATAGACTAGAGAAAGCAAAGAAAACAAAGACCTATCTGAGTCTATCCACTAAATACAGAAGGATCGAATCTGGTTAAACCAAGCCCTTGTAAAGACATGAGTACCTTGTTTATCTTTATTTGTTCATCTTCGCCAAAAACAAAAAACGTGAGAATCAGGCATAGGAGGGTGGGATTTTTTTATGGGGTTTGGTATTTATATCATCCACTCAAAAGTCTCATACAATACACCATTTAACGAAATACCTCAAAATTGGTAAGTTTTTTAATACCACCATACTTTTTCTTATCCCAGATTGAGGATTTCAAACGTGCTATTTTGGATTGCCAGTTATTATCTTTTAACTTTGTGGGCCACCCTTTTACGTGGATGAATAATAGGAAGAATGAACACAATGTGCAAGCACGCCTTGATCGAGGTTTTGGAAATCAGCAGCTTTTGTCTTAGTGGGGTAACTTTACAATTTATCATTTAATGGCGTTTTCTTCTGATCATCACCCTCTTCTTATTGTCACAGATACTCAAGACTCCCAGGTTGGTCGAACCCCTATGGGGCGACGCCTGTTTCACTTCAAAGAGCTATGGTCTAAGGATGACGAATGTGGTGTGGTAATTAAAAATTCTTGGTCATCTTTGGCTACCCCTGTAGCAAATATCGCCCGTTGTACTCAGCAACTTTCATCTTGGAAACAGGTGAAATTTGGTGATCTAAAAAATAAAGTTGAAGTGCTACACCAATAGATTGGTTCCTTTCAAGTTGCAACATCGACTGATGTTAATTTTCACAGCAAAAAATTATTGGAATGTGAGTTAGATAAATTACTGGAACTTGATAAAATTTATTGGCGACAACGGTCTAGGGTGACTTGGCTTCAATATGGGGACCGAAATACTTCTTATTTCCACAAAGTTGCAAATCATAGGGCTAAGACGAACTGTATGCATGGTATACTAGATGCCCAAAATCGCTTGCAGTACGATTATTAGAAGGTGGGCGACATTTTCCTAGATTTCTATCACCGGCTTTTTTCTTCTGATTGCGGTTATATGGCGACTGAAATTTTTGATGCTGTGAAAAAACATGTCCCTCAGATGACTCAGCGTGCACTAAACTTGGATTTTACAATGGATGAAGTTGAGGCCGCCTTATAGTCTATGGCTCCAACTAAATCTTCATGTCCAGATGGGGCTTTATTTTACCAGAAGTATTAGGATGTTGTGGGGGGTGATGTTTGCCAACTCTATATGAATGTTCTCAATGGTTGTGATAGTGTCGTGAGTTTTAACTACACTTTAATTGCTCTTATTCCGAAGATTGCGTCACCAACCCGAGTTACCGAATATTGTCCTATTAGTCTCTGTAATGTGCTCTACAAAATTATTTCCAAGACAATAGCTAACATACTCAAAAAGGCTTTGCCCCATATGATTTCGGAATTCCAGAGTGCCTTTATTCCTGACCATATGATTTTGGACAATGTGTGAGCAACTTTTGAAACTATTCATTGTTTTAAGAGGAAGGGAAAAGCAGGAAGACGCAAGCTTGTGTTGAAAATGGACATGGCAAAAGCTTATGATCGGGTTGAATGGCCCTTTCTTGATTGCATGATGCGTACTATGGAGTTTCCTGCTCGCTTTGTCAATTTGATTATGGGCTGTATTAGTCAAACAATATGGGTAGAATATTTTCAGATATATTTCATTCTCCGAAAGGAGGTATTTATAATACAGGTTACAAACCCTAGTAGGGTTTAATTAGGAAATAAGTGGAATCCTAATTACATAATATCTATACAAAAGGAAAAATAAATAAAACCCAAATAGAATAGGATATATTCTACTCGCCAACACTCCCCCTCAAGTTGGAGCAAAGACGTCACGCATGCCCAACTTGCCAAGCGAGTTGAGAAAGATACTTGTAGAAATAGCTTTCGTAAGAACATCAGCTAATTGATACTCTGAACGGATGAAGGGGAAGGACACAATCTCCGCATCCAACTTTTCTTTAATGAAATTTCGATCAACCTCCACATGTTTTGTACGGTCATGTTGTACAGGATTATGAGCAATTGCAATCGCAGCCATATTGTCACAATATAAATCCATGGGTTTATTAGGCCCAAAACCAAGGTCTTTCAATAATCTCCTCAACCATAGTAACTCAGATACACCATGGGCCATTCCCCGATACTCGACCTCAGCACTAGATCTAGACACCACATTTTGTTTCTTGCTCCTCCACGTAACAAGATTGCCACCCACAAACATAAAATACCCAGATGT